GGCCCCCGCGCCGCTGACACTCGCGCTCCGCCGACTCTTTCAGGGACATAACAGTCCCGCTGAAGGAGACGACGCCATTCCATTCACACTCACTATGTAACATACGTTCCACAAACACACTCACGCTCAGATTCATTCCTACCTTACACTCAAGAAAGTGGCGTGGCCACGCCCACGCTGACATTCCTCGACCGTATGTTTCGCATTGTCCGGTCCCACCCCACAATGGTGACATCCCGGTGATTCCTCCCTGCCGATCCGGCACAGGTACTGGGCAAAACACCCATGCTCAGTCAGCACCTGTGTGACTCGGAACAACAGTCGCTCGTGGCTGCGATCCATCCACTGTTCCAGGCGTGCAAGAATCGCCCCGACCGCGCGTTTCTCTGCGGCCCCGCTGGAAGCAAGAACTTATTTTCAAAGACAGCAACGCGGCGGGCCTGGAGCCTGACCTAAGTGTAGGGTCCCACACAAATATTGTTACGATATATCTATATCACCCTACAGTGGCCTATTCGAGGAGTGTAGGGTCCCATTCAAATAGTGTTGTGATTGCTCTGATACCACCTTACAATGGTTACTCATGCGAGGAGTTGTTTATTCGAGGAGTGCAGGGTCCCGCTCGAATAATGTTATGATTGATCTTAACACATTCGCGACCGCTGACGTGAATTCACGTCCTTTCAAGTTCTGTTGCTGGTTGCCGCTGACGTGAATTCACGTCATTTTAAATTTTATTCCTGGTTGCCGCTGACGTGAATTCACGTCCCGCGTAGTTAGGCGGCGCGCCGCGGCGCGGCGCTTGCGACGAACCGCTTCAGTTATGATTTGAAATACACTAAAAGAACGCAGCCATTGAATAATTCAGCCAAATAAGCCGTAATATTGTTGACTCACTTGTCTCAGTTGCAAGTTTTGCAAGTTTTCCAACAAAGGCAATATATGTACTTGCTGAAAGCGTCTATTATCACATGTATGTGTTCGAATAGGAGAGAAAAGTATAATTTACATAATTCCGTTATTGACATTGTTTTATTTGGGTTTCATTTTTATATTTCAGTGCTTTTATACTGGATTTGTTAGTTTTATCGAAGATATACTGTGACGAATCGGTGGGAGGGACGAAAGGAAAAGTCCCTGAGGTGGAGGGCAGCCAGGGAAAGCGGTCCTCCACGTCCCGATGCGCACACCCACGGACGATTTCTTTAACCCATTGACTGCCAGACATATTTAGAGCGTCTTGCCCTGGGTGCCAAGGTTTTATTTTGAAGAATACATGAAATTTTACAAAATATAATTATATTAAGTTACTGATATAATATTGTAATAGCATTTACAGTAATAAATAGCATTTTTCATTCACCTTTTTAAAATATTTTTAACTGAAATAGCCATTTGTAATTAATCTAAAATTGCAGCACGCACTACGAGATATCTCGTAACTGGCAGTTTTGATACACACGCTTACTACGAGATATCTCGTAGCTGGCAGTCAATGGGTTAAAGGGGCGCCAGTGCAACGCACGCGTCCGGGGGAATCGCCCTTCCGGCAGCTCTTCCGGGAGCGGTACTCAAGGGGGGACAGAAAATAAGTAGAGAATCCGCGAGTATCTAAGATAACTTTAGCTTTATTAAGGGCCGAAGCTAGCCCTTCGAGAAGAACGCGAACGAGCCTTTCGTGGTACAAAGTTCGGAAAGGGAACAAAATCGGAAACGAAAAGAAACGCGGTACGCTTTGGGGGAGCACGCCCTCTTGGGGGTCATGGACAGCAAAGGGAACGCTGGACCTAAATGCAAAATACAGCGGAAAAGAGGAGAAATAATCCGTACTAGGGTTCTAGTAGGTAATCTAGTAGGTAATCCGTCTAGGGAGGACTAGGGTCCTCATCGCCGGGGCTGGTGGTCCTATCGCCAGGAACCACCCACACGCACACACGCTCACACACACTCGCTTATGGATCTTACAAGAAGGCAAAGATCCTACCTTTGTACGCTGGTGTCCGGGTAGGCGTCGTTCTCTATCTGGGCGCGGCGCCAAGGTAAGTCCACACTCCACCGATCGGACACACACACACGAAACGTAAAAGGGAGAAAGAAAGAGAAAAAAAGGAATTATGATACAGTGTAAAAAAAAACAAAGAACAAAAAAAGAAACAGAAAATTTAGCGTTAAAGGAACTCGGGGTACGGCGAGATTCAAGGCGCGTGGTGGCGTACAGTTCTCGTCGCGGCTCGCTGACTTCCCCCTCCGTATCCGCGGCTCGGGTCCTCGGTGCGCGGAGTTCCCTTCCCCGAGGATTTCGGCGCCAGGGATGGGCCAAGTAGCGTGTCTTTGCCAGTTCCTGGGGCCCCTTCGGGTGGCAGCTGGGGTGGCTCGTCCCCAGGCCTGGCGTCCCTCGGTGTTGGCTGCCGGTCGCCCCCGCGGAGGTGGACGGGTGGCTCGGCGACCGGTCAGCAGGCGGCTTCCGTTGATGGGCACCATCCCGCGCCTGGCGTCCCTCGGTGTTGGCTTCCGTTGATGGGCTCCATCCCGCGCCTCCATCTCTCAGGTTGGGGTTTTCCCCGCGTCCGGGGCCGCGGATACCTCTTCTTCGGCCGCTGATCTTCATGCCGGTGCCGGGGGGGAAAAGGGGCGCGCGAATAATAATAAAAGAAAATATAAAAGTACAAAGAAAAAAGAGAAATCGCACTCACACTTTTCATACGCCCCGTCGCGAGGGGTTGGCAGGGCGGAGGAGAGAGGCCGGCGGGCCTAGTGGCCACTCGTAACGAGGTATAAAAATATGCCTCGTTACAATACAAATATAAAGATATAAATATAACATTCATACATAATAATTTTTAAAAAATTTACCGTTATAATGAAAAATGAAGAAATATGTGCTGACGAGATTTCTAAGGTTGAATCCACAGAACTTCATAGTGATAGCGGGACGGACAGCGATATAGCAACGCAATTTACGCGGAAGTGTACAACTAGGATAATATATGACAGCAAATCCAGCGACAATAACTACCAAACAGACAGTCAGTGGACAAAATATGATCCAAAAAGAAACTTAGAAATGTTTGCCGGTAATTCAGGTGTCAAAATAAATCCAAATAACCCTCAAAGCATAAGTGAAATTGTCGAACTAGTCGTTGCAGATGATTTTATAGAAATGGTCACAATTGAAGCTAACAGATATTATGATCAGATGCACCGCAGATATAAAGGTGTAAGGAAAACAAAAAAGTGGTACAATACTACAGTTTCCGAGATGAAAAAATTTTTCGCATTAAATATTTTGATGGGACAAATACGTAAAACTACAATACATGATTATTGGTCAACACGTCAGTCAATCGCTACACCTTTCTTTTCAAAAATAATGACAAGGCATAGATTCCTTCAAATTTTGCGCCTTCTGCACTTTTCCAATAATATACAAATGGCGTCAAATCCAAGCAGGTCATGTAAAATTCAACCCGTAATAGATTACCTTTTAAATAAATTTAGCACCGTATACAAACCCGAACAGGACCTTTCTTTAGATGAAGCTATGATACCATATTGTGGAAGATTGTCCTTTAGAGTTTATAATCCGAGCAAAATAACGAAGTATGGAATACTAGTTAGAATGTTATCTGAGGCAAGTACTGGATACGTCTGTAACTTTCAGCTGTATCATGGAAAAGGAAACACTTTAGAAAAAACTATTTCACTTCTTTTAAATAAAAACCAAAACGTATGGCACCATGTATACATGGACAATTATTATAATAGTATAATACATTAGCTGAAAACTTATTGACGAAGAAAATTCGTATTTGCGGTACTGTACGTAAGAATAGAGATTTTCCAAAGGATCTAAATGATGTCCAATTGAAAAGAGATGAATTTGATTTTCGGCGCAAAGGTGAGGTACTAGTTCTCAAATGGAAAGATAAGAGAGACGTTCGGATGATATCTACGATACACAATGCCGATTTCGTTGAGACTGGGAGAATAAATAAAAGAACTGGACAGCAAGTTCGTAAGCCTGAGTGCATAATAAAATACAATCAACATATGAAAGGTGTTGATCTAGCTGATCAGTATCTTTCGTATTATTCATTTTTGCGAAAATCAATCAAATGGACAAAAAAAGTTTTCATGTTTGTTTTACATTGTGCTCTCTTTAATTCATTTATTTTGTATCGTAAGCTAAATCCACGTGCCAATATAACTTTTTCTAAATTCTTACGAACTCTGGCAGAAGAATGGATTGCTTCTGATACTGAACATCATGATCTCGAAAATTTACCTAGCACTAGCTCAAAAGCAGTGGGTCGAGCACCGCACTTTGACCCTCCTTACAGACTTTCAGGAGGCATGAGAACTCATCAGCTAGAAAGAATTGCACGAACTGGGAAAGCAAAATACCCACAAAAGCGTTGTAAAGTTTGCAAAACTCATGGAAAACGACGTAACACGTCCTATATATGTAAATCATGTAAAATTCCGTTATGCAAAAAATCTTGTTTTTATATTTATCATACGAAACAAAAATATTAAATTTTGTTTTTATGCAACTTTTCTCAAATACTTGTAATATAATGCTGAATAAATTAAGCACAATAATAACAAGTGGTCTATTGTCTACCTATAAAGCAAAAATGCAAATTATAAAAATCTTTTTATTTTAAACAACACATAAGTGCAACATTGATATTTTAAAACAAATTTTATCATTGTTACCCTTCCTTTAACGATACAAGCTTGCGGCAACCAGCTTCGGAATTTCATCATTTTCGCCGGTACTTAGTATTAGAAACAGGAAAAATTTGCCGGTCGCGAATGTGTTAAGAACCACCCTGTAATGGTTGTTCTATGTTTGACTATTCTAGGAGTGCAAGATCTCATACGAGTAGGATTATGATTTGCTTGGAGTCCGTTCTGCAATGGATATTTTACGTTACTCCACGCGGAACTTTTTGACTCTCGGTCCGGTCCGCACAAGATTCAATGATCGGCTGATTATTTGACATATAAAAACCGCTCGAACACCCTCGCGTTTCAGATGGTGACAGTTAAGAAAATCTATGCTTTAGTTCATTGAAACTGTTCAAAAAAGAAGGTATAGGCATTAGCTGATTTATGGCAAGCAAATATTTATACTAACAAGGGACCATCCCGAAGTGATAATTTCCGATTTTTATGAAACTTGGATATAATGTAGTTCTCGAAAAAATATTCGACACGTATTTTTTTTTAGCTGCCATCATTCATGTTAAGGGGGTGAAAATAGCCCTCAAAGTGGGGGGTGAGAATCACGTTTTGTGGAATATCTCGGGAACCAGTAGAGCTAGAGGGATGGTTTAAATTGCAAAGTTGTGTATTTTTTAATGTGGAATCCAACTGTACAAATGGATTTTAAAAAATCGCATTTGTTTAAATAATATATTAAAAAATGACACTTTTCTATTAATTTTTCTATTTAAAAGTTGTTGTATCTTCTCGTAATTTTTTATGTGAAAAGTATACTAGTAAGTGTAAAATACGGATAGAATGGAATTTTCATTTTTACATTGTAAATATTGTTAACGAAGTTGTATTTTTATCGTACCTTTGCGGGACGCGTCCTCGAATGCATATAATCAAGTATGTAAAGAGCTTCTACATCTTTACTGGTAACTGTATTACAGTCAACTTGACAAATTTTTTTCAATTGGGATCAGAATTATCGTCTCAGATATAAGAGTTAGCCGGCGATGACCGCGAAGATTTTTCCGCGCGGTCACAAGGCTTTTATAGAAGGGGCTATTGCACCCAACTTTTTTCAAGTTTTTGGCAACTGAAACTAAGCTGTTTCACGTTTACGAATATATGGGTGCTCTGAAAAGAGTTGGTTTTAATATTAGTTCCTGTAATTTTTTAAAAGGTTGAACATCATGAAAGTATTAGTTCATTCAATATATTGATTGCAATAATGATATTCCACTAGAAATGCTCCTGACACCACGAACATTTTATACAAATAACACTACTACAACGATTACAAGTTATGCTTGATGTGTTGGTGAAACAAAATTCTACGAAGTTTTCAAATTTTCCTAGCCTCTCGTCAACATGTATAGCTGCATCGAAACCATGCATATTGGAACAATATTGTTTATCGAGGTGTTGATAATTGGTTGTGTGTGTGTGATTGAATTTTTATTATAGTATCACTGGCATTTAAATTTATATTGAAATTTAATGTTATGACCAAATTTGATAATTTTTATACGAAATTTTTCCAAGCGCGACAACTGGAAACATCTAACGATTGAATTAAACCTGTAGTATTTTTGGGGATTTTTAAGATCTCCAAATTTATTCCTCCTGAGGCAATACTTTTAAGTTAACTGTAATAGAGTTACCAGTAAAGACGTAGAAAGCGCGACAACTGGAAACATCTAACGATTGAATTAAACCTGTAGTATTTTTGGGGATTTTTAAGATCTCCAAATTTATTCCTCCTGAGGCAATACTTTTAAGTTAACTGTAATAGAGTTACCAGTAAAGACGTAGAAGCTCTTTACATACTTGATTATATGCATTCGAGGACGCGTCCCGCAAAGGTACGATAAAAATACAACTTCGTTAACAATATTTACAATGTAAAAATAAAAATTCCATTTTATCCGTATTTTACACTTACTAGTATACTTTTCACATAAAAAATTATGAGAAGATACAACAACTTTTAAATAGAAAAATTAACAAAAAAGCGTCATTTTTTAATATATTATTTAAACAAATGCGATTTTTTAAAATCCATTTGGACAGTTGGATTCCACATTAAAAAATACACAACTTTGCAATTTAAACCATCCCTCTAGCTCTACTGGTTCCCGAGATATTCCACAAAACGTGATTCTCACCCCCCACTTTGAGGGCTATTTTCACCCCCTTAACATGAATGATGGCAGCTAAAAAAAAATACGTGTCGAATATTTTTTCGAGAACTACATTATATCCAAGTTTCATTCAAAATCGGAAATTATCACTTCGGGATGGTCCCTTGTAAGACAGATCCGTACAGGACTTGATAGACAAAAGGTTCCTCAATGATCCGTATTTCGAGGTATAAGGCTATTCACGGTGGTCTACGCGTCGAACCACTTGAGCCTTGTAATAAATCCCTTAGTCGTAGCAAAGGTCTAGGTTCGCGACCGAACAGTGGTACAAATTGGTACAAACGGTGGCGAATACCGTATAATTTAAAGAAGATAAATTTTTTAAAGTCAGGTGCTAAGTTCAGGTAGGTTCATCTGACGTAGTTCGTTAAATTACGTTGTTTAACTCTAACTTGTAACGAAAAAAAGAAAGTATACGGGATATTTCATAACAAGTATAACTCTAGTATAACAAAAATAGCATTTGAAGCTTCGTTTTAGTATAATTAAGCAAAAACACGGTCCTATCAGAGTGCGAGAATTGCGCGCACCCAGAAGCGAGAGCGATAGCTTCCTTGCAGCTGATTGCGATCAGGAACAAGCGCCTTTGCGCCTAGACAGTCTAAACGTTTATTAAGAAGCTCTTACGTCAAACCTCATTGTAATAATGAACAGAATAGTTACAAATAATATTTACTTATTTGCTTGTCATCAGTAAGGGACAGAATTAGTTATGTGTAATTAACTGACACTAAGTTAATAGAATATCTGTAACTTTGAATTTACACAGAACTTATAAAGTATTAAAATAAAACTCAACCATTATTTACAAATAATCCTGTTTATTGAAACTGGATCCTTGTAACTTGCTCATTCTATCTATCGTAACTACTCGTAAAAGTAATACGCAACCCACAATAGCTGTTATCGCTGCCGGTTCACTACATTATTTTTTTTTCACTCATTTTTTAATGGGTCATTCCACGTCAAATTGATCATTTTTGGACGTCACCATCTGCTATTTTGCTCTAATCAAAATATGTTGTAGTCCATGTCGAATTCGGGGTGGAGTGTGGGGGTTAAGTTATCATTTTGCCGGTTTTAAATTTGTTCAGGAATAATAAGCCTTCCAAGTTTACAATTTTTATCCATTGTGACTGTTAATATAATACATCTGTATTCCTTTGTTCCTTGTGTGATGGTGG